CCCGCAGGACCTGCGCTCGCTGGCCGCTCGGCCCGGGCGCTAGTCCGGTCCTGCTCCCCCTCCTCCGGCCCTGCCGGCCCAGCCTTCACATCGCTCTCGGCTTTAGGCGCAGGACAATCCAGGCTTCGGGGCGAGAGCCGGCGCCGGCGCCTGCTACGGGCTGGCGCGCGCTATCTGCGTCCTCCCCGCCGGGCGAGGGGCTGCGGAGACGCTGCCTGCGGGCGTGGCGTGGTCTGCGCGCTCCGGTGCCGGGGCCGAGCTGGCTGCTCTGGAGCAGCGAAGAAAAGCGCCGCAGTGCCGCTGCTGCCGGTAGAGGAGGCGGCGGCGGCAGAAGACGCCCACTGGCGGAGCAAGAGCTCCCCACGCCGCTGCCCGCACCCTCACGGCGAGCCGGTGGGGTCTGGGCACGGCCGCGCCAGGCCCCACGCCCTGGCGGCCCTCTGCGCTCGTGTGTGTCCACCCCAGACCCGCGAGAGGGCGGGGCTGCTGCTGCGTTTCTGCGGGTCTGCTCACATAGGGGTCCAGTGTTCTGTATTCTAAACCCGCAGCCCTGCAACTGCTCCACCTATGTGCTGTTGGGCGAGCCACGTTGGCCTGTTGATCGCCTGAGCCAGGGAATCCTCCCGCTGGAGAGCCAGCAGCCCAACCGAGCAGCTCTCAATCAGAGCTCCCAAGAGGAGAGTTCAGACTGGAACATTTGGTAGGAGTTTAAGTCAAGCAGAGTTGCCTGTAAACCTAAGGTTTGAGACTGCTCATCCCCAGGACTTCCTTTCCAATAGTCAGTCACGTTAAGACAAACTTCATGTGCACACATCCAGTTTGTCCCAATGGGGACAGAGAGTAGAAAGAGCAAACTATGGCTCCGACACGAGAAACGGTGAGCTCGTCACCCTAAAACACTGTAGCAGCCTCCTCACTGGCGCCTAAGAGGCCGCCTGGTCCCCTTCCGAAGCCATGAACGCAGACAGTCGCAGTTGAAGGGAGCTGCGCTGCCCAATGGGCGCTGGGAACGGGAAGCCGCAGGAGTTTGGAGAAGTTGAGAGGAGGAGCGCACGGCGCGCGGCGGCCGAGTTTCACAGGCGCGTGCAGCGGTGACCCTGTGCTTGAAGGCTCCCAGCTAGGGGCAATAGCCCTGTTCCTCCCGCTGGGACCCTTCAGACTCCTCGGACTGTGGCACCTTCTTTGAAAGGCAGCGCACGCGCCACAGCTCAACTGTGGCGGAGGGCAAGGCGGGCACCTGAGCGTGCGGCGCGCAGCCGTGCAGCGGCTGTGCTGAACAAACTTGTGTCCACTTTGTGTAAGTCTCACCAGCTGGGGCTCTAGGCGAGTGCCCTGGGGCCTCCGGTTCGCCACACTTATTCCCTCCCTGTCCAGTTTCACGTGTTTTTATTTTGAAGCCCAATCCAGATTCCTCCCTGGTCGGTGCTTGTCCCGATTCCCATCAAACCCCTTCCCCCAGAGTGGAAAAGGGCGGATTTGCATTTGCACCAAACCGAGCAGGAGGGACACCAGGACTCAAGGAAGATAGTGCGTTTCCCCTACTCCCCGAAGTCCTCGGACTTTTCAAGGATTCTCGGAAAGACTGGGTGTCGCATGTAACAGGCGCCAGTCAGGACCTTCACTTAGGTCGGAATCTCTGAATTTGCAGAGCAAGAAAATTATTCCAGACTCTTACCTTAGAAGCGGGGGCGGGGTCAGAGCCGCAGCATGTGCAACCCCCGCCCCCGCCCCGCCAAGGAAAAGCTAGACAGGAGCAACGCCGCTGGTCTCTGGCCACAGCCTTCGCTCGCAGCTCCTGCAGCCGCCCAGCGCGACACTTGTTACTTCTCTTAGAGCGCGGTTTGCTGCGGGCAAGGACTCACCCCTCTGGCAGGACAGGGCTTTCACACGTTTAGGAGATGAATTTCCCCTCGGAGCGTTTATCGCTTATTCCTTTACTCGCATATTGGTTCTCTTTGCCGTTTACGATTTATCAAATACATTTTTTGGAGTCAATACATCGATTTTCCAGTTACAAGAAAATTTGCACTTAACTCGAATGTTGAGCCACATTTCAGGTACAGGGAAGGTGGAAACCACGAAATACTTGTTCTAGGAGTCTTGGTTAAATCAGGATGCAAACTCTAGAGCTCTCATCAGCTCTTTCCCAGAATTTCTTTCGATATTTCATCCTTCTTTTCCCTGATTGCTTGCTGGAGGGGACACATTTCCTGGAGAAATGAAAAATCACAAAGCAAGACAACGGAAAGGAACCATTTGAGGAGTTGTTGACGGATTAGCAATTAAATTTTGATCGTTGTTCTCCTAACTGAATACTAATGTCCACGTTTGTTCACGTAAGTCTCACGGGCGCACAGGCACTTTGCCATTCTTCCAGAACTATTGTTTAATTGAAGATTTAAATTGCAAACACAGAACGACTTGTCACTCACTGTACTCAGGCGTTCCCACACCTGTAGAATGTTTCTTTCGAATTCTTTTTCATCCCTTTGAGTTTCTCTAGTGATGCATCAGAAAAAGAAGTCTGTCACTAAAAATTAATTACTCCAAATCTTATATGAATGAGCACACTGGCCCATAACTGAGTGAACAGTACATGAAGTTGACAACATTGTAAAGCGTCAGAACGTCATCAGATAGCAGAACTGTAGTTGTCAGGAGCACAAAACCGGAGAAATCTGCTTGGTTGAAATGTCCCAGGAAAGTGAAGGATTTCCTTCATTCCAAGATGAGAAAATGCCAGCCTAAACTGGAGGGAATAAAAACTAAAAGAATATTAATGCCACCAAAGATGTCAAAATTGTGATGACCTTATTCATACCTCAACATTTTAAAAGAACACAAGGCATTTGTCTATACCCTTTACCAAAAGAAAAATTACCAAGAGAGTTTTATATTGATAGTGAAGCCTTACCTGAGTCGACCTATGTAACTGAGTATGCTGAAGCTTCCCAGGCTTTCATGTATTATTTTAAAATATTTCTGTACTATTTTTAGTATTTTATGCCTAAACTTTTATTTTTACTGGAAATAATACCTTCCTGCTTATTACCAAATTTGTATCATGTACTCTTAAAAACATGGGTCAAGGTAGAGCCTAATAAATTTTTACAAGATATTTTTCCTCAAAACATTATAACATTTCTTCATTAAAATTTAACCACATGCCCCTTTTCCTAACCTATGAGATTCATAGCAAACATGAATTAATATTTCATGAACATTTTGGTAAACATAGGTCTGTGTCTTAAATGATTTTATTTTACAATTTCAACATTACCTTTTAACAACTGTAAAGTTCACATCACTGTTTCTAAAGAAACGTGCTTTCTCTTTTAAAATGCTAATAACCTTCATTAATATGGAAAAAAGTTTAATTATATGTTAAACTCATCTACTTAAAGTGATAAGGACTATTAAAAGATACTTTTTCTTTAACCTGATTTTAATTTTTGTAACTTACTTAAAATGTATAGCAAAGCAATTCATAAGCAAGTGGCTATTGTTCCTAAGTCAGATTTCTCATTTTAATACTTAGTGAATGATCAACATGTATGCGCTGCAGGTGCTATCTGCACAAACTATATTGTAACAAGATAGTTTCTTCACCATCCAGAATGCTGAATAGAGTTCAGTACCAGGTAGGCAGTTATTCATGACCTGTCTAGCCCATCAAATCCTTCACTGCTAGGTCTAAGTTTGTCTTACTGGGAGCCTCCTTCAATGTGGCTCATCCCCAATCTATCATGGCTTCATTACCTAAGCCTCCTGGAACTTATGTATTTTATCTACTCAAATTAGCACGTTACACTGAATTCTTCCTAAGAAAGTTAATGCACATGTGACTTGCATTGACAGTTCTGTTTCAAACAGCTTGACATCCAAGGTCTTACCATTCTTAAATATTTAATGAAGGCCAGCATGCAATAGGCACTCAACAATTGTTTCCTACCTATCACCTGCATGCCAACCAGTAACAAACTTCTATTACTGTTGATGTTAACAAATTTAGAGTAAAGGGGAGTGTGTGCCTTACAGTATTGTCATAATCAAAGCTAAAAAAAAACCAAGGTGATTGATTGTAATTCTAATAAGAAAAATATTGTTAAAGGTAATACCTTCAATGGTACAGCCTGGAAACCAGACCAAAGATAGTAAAA